ATTTCGTTTAGCGGATGGCTTTGGTCCCAAGATCGATGCTTTGTCATTTGCTGGTTGTTGTTGTATTTTATCGAGTGACTGGCTTTTTGCTTGTGCATTCATAAACATTAGCGTTTTTTTTTTCGCAGCCCCCAATTCACACCATTCAACGTTGGGGTCCGGTCCTGTCCGGTACTCTTACTAATACTAATACTGATGCTAAATACTCAGTCTAATTTTAGTGTAACGATCAACCTTTTATCGCTTGAGCTAGATTATCATTATTGTTTTACTTATTAAGGAATACATGATTAACACAAGCCATTCAATTTCTCGTCGTCTTTCAAAGTAAATCGAATTCCCATATTAAGAGAGCGTTCTACGAGACTCACGTGTTTGACAAAGAAATCCAATCGTTATCTGATCCCCACAATTGACCCTATTAATTACCGTTGCACAAATGTAGAACTTAAATCTTGCATTTACACTGCATGCTTCATATCCTTTTCGATATTAACTTCTCAGTCATGAGGAGGTCTTTTCTTCGCTTCTTTTCCTTCTCTTCTTCCATTCCTCGTTGAAATTCTCCATGTGTGGACAGAATCTTTCAATGAGATTAGCCTAACTATGAAATAATGCGAATTGAACACAGAGACGGGTCAGTGGAACCTGAGCCATGCATGAATGAGATATGCCGTGATATCTAAAATTAGCCTGCAGATCGTTTCAGGTTAAATGTAAGTGTTGCTCCGGTTATTCAGCGACGTCTTCTTATTGCACACTTTGTTGCTTGCTCAGTAGGTGAAAAAACATCTATTTTGACATAAGTAGTTATGCTTAATCCAAAAACTCCGAATTAACAGACATAATTGTCCTTCTTTATGATATGTGTCTCAGCTGTAATAATTAGACGCTATGCATTTCCTACTAGCGCTACCGATTGATATTTTCAAGCTTGTAGCGTCGGTACGTTCTTAACGATTGTGTCAATTGTTGTTTGCATACAACCTCTTGTCATATCTTGATATCTTATTCTTGTTTATTACCTTTGGGTGTGTGTGTTGGCTTACTGTCTGTTGTATTAACGTATGCTCTCTTTTATTTTAGGCTGCAATTTTGAACATATTGATCTTGTTGAGCTTAATCGTTCTCAACAAAGGTCGTGCAATGTCCGCCTACAAGCTGCCTATATGCGTATCAATCTTAGTGACATGTTTTCTTTTCATACTGACGAAGCAGGACACGACGGGCTTCTCCGACTTTGAGAATTTATCAATACGCTATGAAATCGCACTAGGTTTTCACCAACTGACGATAATGATGATAGTGACGGTCGTGATATATGTACTAACGCAAACAAACTATAATAGAGTTGATCATAGTTTTCGTGTCATTTCGTTGATTGTACTCTGGATATCGGGGGTAAGCCCATCACAACGTTTGCGTTTTCGAACAATCGCATATTGAAGCCTCTCTTCTTATAGGTTGTGTATGCAGTACTTACGCTGGGTCCGCTATGGAGCATTGTTGGTGCCAATGTTTATAAAACTTTGGTATACACAGTTTTCGCAATTAGAGCGATCATGATTTTGTACACTATGGGTCGTTTATACCAAAACAAACGCAAAACCCCAAGCACGTTGTTTATAGGCAATCAATTTAGACTTTTATTTGTACTTATAGCTTTAATAATCGAAGGACCAGTCTACATTCTTGTCATTTTTGTAAACCCTTCCGTGGCGATTGTGCCCATAGTCTGGTCAATAGTTATCATCGTGATTTTATTCTTACTATCATGTCCAATTGAACAATTTGATGACAATTCACAAGAGTCAGAGGTAGAGCAAAGCGTTAATAAGATCGATCTTCCTAAGAGGGGTTCAGAGATTGGGATTCGGTTTGAGAATGGTAGTGGGAATCAAGGCCTCCGTGGACAGCAGCAGTCTTATTCACAACAACAGGCTTATCCACAACCAACTTATTCACCGCAGGCTTATTTATCGCAAACTTATTCATCACAGTCTTACTCACCACAGGCTTATTCATCACAGGCTTATTCATCACAAACTTATTCTCATTCACAACCAACATATTCACAGCAATATTTACAACAACAAACTCAAACACAACAATCTCAAAGGCAACAAGCTCAAACACAACAGACTCCGAGACAGCAGGTTCAAACTCAGGCTCAAAGACAGCAGACTCAAGCTCAGAGTCAAAGACAACAAGCTTATATACCACAACATTATGAACAACAGAGTCATAGACAACAGGCCCAAACATCATCACAATCTTATGACCGACGAGGTTATGAGCAACCTTATGTGCCACAGTCATATGAACCAGCAGCTTACAAACCACGGACATACGAGCCGCAGACTTATGAGCCACAGACATATGAACGACAGCAACAGACATATAGTTCACGGACACATGATTCACAAGATTATTACTCATCCTACGAGCAACCGTCTTATGCACAAGCTGGTGGGCGATCAGTAGGAAGGACGAATTTTGCACAAGGTAGACCAGTTCGGTATAGTTTGTCATCATCTGATGATGAATGATTTTTTGCTTGTGATTTAAATGTAGATGTTTTTTCACGACACGTTAGAAGTAAGGTAGCTACAATCGACTTGAATGTCCCAATACACAAATGTTGCAAGATATTACTTTTTAATGTGATACACTACTCTGTATTAAAACTACTTAAAATTCTGAAACTTTACATAGTAATAGTAAAATGTGATACTGTAACAAAAAAACTGTACATTGTTGTGTTGGTTATAATTATTATTTATATTATCTGTCATGGAAAGGAATAACATGAATGAATAAATGAACATTGCAGTTTGATGAATTGATGTCTGTCAACTGCATTTTTTTGAAACCATGTGTGTATACTATTAGTATGAGAAACTTGTCTTGCTTGTTTAATTATGTAGACAACTGCTATTGATACAGAACATTGTTGAGGTCATAGTCAGCAGTACCATATAATTTGGTTTTTTCGTGGTATGTAACAAGTTTTACTCACATTTTATTTGTAAAATATTGATTGTTTACGTACTTATCACGTGTTGGATTTTATTTTCAAGAGTATGTTAATTCCTAATAACGTACCATTAATAATGTTTATCATAGAGAATGGGCTTAAAAATGGCATTATATCATGTAAAAAGTTGATACAACACGGCATAGTTTAGACTTGTTTTCGAGTTACAATCTTCTCAAACTTTGTAGAACAAGAAGTTTGTATTTATATTTTATATGAAAAGTCTGACATTACGCGTACAAGGAGAATTTTGTAAAAAAAAAAATCGCGCTTAATACAGATAATGTGAATATGGCTTAATCAATTCGACATGTAAATTATACACTACACGTAGTACGTATTAATACAATCATCCGCAGGGTAATCGCAGGCAGTCAAGTGAAATGCTCGTTGTTTTTTTAAAAATTTTGATTATCAAGGATTGGCATATTCTTTTCTTTTTTAGCATATTTAATTTAATCTATTACTATATACTAATACGGAACCGTTGATGACCATTGTCGCCATAGTCGATCAATGGTTTGACGATCCCGCAAGTGATCATTTTTACATTTCCATGTTTGGTTTCAGTATGAGGAGAAATTAATTCGGATTTGTTTGTGCAAGCAGCAGATTTCAGCAGCAGATTTCAGCATCAGCCGTGACAATAAGTATTTATTATTTCTTATCACGCCTCCCGACTCGTTCTATTTTTTTTTTCAGGCTTGTCTTGATATACTGCTCTATTCACTCTATACCGGAATTGTCGTCTCTTATATCTGCACGAATTTATATACGAAACGGGCTGGTTAAAATGTATGCATTCATAATTCAAATTCAAGACCGTTTATTAATAAAGACAATTATCACACGGAAAACTTACCATTCATGATCTCGGTCGACTTTTTCATTTCTCATAATATTCAGCTTTATCGTCGCACGAAAATCCCACAGACTTGGCCAGCTAAATTTTCACTACGATATCGGATCCAATAATTTATCCGATCAATATACGATATCAAATCTTGGGTGATTTATGACTAACCACACAACTCTTCAGAAGTGGCACCACTTCCCAGATTGCTTACTTTGTAGCTGCGAAACATGTTTCTATATTATTTTATTATACAATAAATTTGTTAAAAAATGTGTACAATGATTTATGAATTATGTATCGTGTAATAACCTATTAAAATAAATGCTATTTTTATTATTCATCATGAACCCACAACTACATGAAAAAAAAAAGAAAGGGAAAAACGAATAATTAGTACAACAAATATATATACATATGACAACAACAGCTTTTTCTGAAATAAAATACTTACATCCATCCTACCACTGTCAGCATACGGTAACGCCATTTCCAAATCCTCTTGATCAATCATTGTGACCAGTTCGTCATCTTCATCCTTGTATTGTAAATTGATCGAATTGGTGATTTGGAATTTATCTTGAATACGTCGTATCAATTCCGGGAACGCTATTGTTGCCGGAATTAAAAGTGCGCGCGTGTCTTTGTAGTGGACGCGAATACGTATCTATAAAGTAATGATTTTATTGTCAGTCTCGTATAAGCATTAATCACCACCCATTTATCCATCACACATCACGTTTTGTCTCAACAATCTTTTCCTACTCCCACACTCGAATACACATACCTTGTCATCCTCCCTCGCACCAGTCGAATAATTATCATTATTCTTGTTTTGCGTATTTCCTCCTCTTCCAGGCATCTGTAACATTTCAAATTGTCCATCTTCCACATCATCTCCCTCATAATCATCGTCATCGTCGTCATCGTCATAATCAATATCAACGTCATCATCATTATTATTATTATCGTCTTCCCGCTCTTCATCTTCCGCATCATCATCATCACTTCCATATCGATATCCATTCTCGCTAACGGTCGACGAAAAAATAACGTCTGCATACGGTTTTTCCGACGAGGCCGTTTGCGGAGACAGGTATGACGGTGATGTCGGGTACGGAGATGTCGGCATTTTGAGGAGATTAGATTTGCCCGATTTCGATGTTTTGTGTATTACTCGATCAACATCTGCACGCGGATCATAATCTTTTGGCGAGTCTTCATTCATCACGTAATCGTATATGTTATTCCAGTCTTCTGGCGGTGAGGCGTATGCTTCATCTGAAGAATAGCCTCCGTGTTGACTGTCGATGTTTCCACCACCCAATTGTTTTTGAAGATACTGTGCACGAGCTTTGGTGTTTCGTCGTATCGGTATGGTTACACCATTAGGTGATAGCGGAGATATTGGAATTGGAGAGACTTCGCGAGAATCGGTGTTGCTTCTCTCGCGAAGAGTGCCACGTATGGGGAATGGAGGTTGACCTCTTCGAACCGACATGGATCGGCTCGGTTGTCCTCCGTTCGCTTTGCTATTATCATTCTGAGCGGATCCAGATGTTCCGTTTTTACTATTATACCCCGGCTCTGGCGGTGGTGTTATTTGTCCCTTTCTCGGATATACCGTGAATCCTTGTACGGCTGGTGTGTTGGATGATATTGATGGTAATGAGGTCTGCTTGCGAAGAGACGGCGGTCTTTGAAGTATTGGTACATTCGGTGGTGACGGAATTGGAGATGAAATAGATGACGGTGAGTTTAGCCCATCTTCTGATGCCGGATTTCTCTGTCGTATTGACTTCACTCCTGACAGAGAGAACGACCTCTGCAAGCCGATTCCCAAAAGATTGGAGACAAATGTTTTCTTTGGTGCCTGTCTAGTGATCGATGGTAAGGACGATGACATTGCCTCGTCATCATCTTCATTGCCGCCCGAGAACGAATAATCTGTTATAGAAGACATGCTATTGACGTTCGAATTGGGAGGAGCTGTCGGACTGATTGACCGATCACTAAGTGTATTTGAATCAGCAAATCCATTATAGCTTATTAAAATGGAACCAGAGGTATAGTTATCACGTTTGAGATCGGTGTTGAGCAGTGACATGGATAGCCCGTTCTGAGCTGTGGGTATGTTTTGACCAGCAAGTGTGTTCCGACTGTTAAGAGTGGTTTGGCGAGAGAGCGCATTCAGACTTGACAATGTATTCTGACGAGATATTGTGTTTTGGCTATTCAATGTGTTTTGGCGAGAAAGCGATGCGGATTGAGATGCTATTGGGAATGGAGGAGGAGAGCGTGGATTTGTTGATAGAGATATTCGTTGGGAAATGGGAAATGATGGAGATACTGTCCGGCCATTAAAAATTACAGTCTGTGCTTGTTGGTTTGCAGCTCTCTGAATTTTCCAAACGTAAAAAAAAAGACGTTGTTAGTTGAGAAAAACCGACGTAAAAGCTTGAATATTGTCAAGAGCTTAAGGATTCTTGTAGATTTGGCTCAAACCCCCTTTCCATTACCTTTGCTTTCTGCGCTGCGGAAAACTCAGAGGCGTTAACTTTTGCTTTCCCCAAAATATCTTTTGTTTTTAGTTTGTCCTCGGATGGACGATAAATTATGCCGGATGGAAGTGAAAATACGGTATAGCCCTGGTAAAAAAAGAGAGATTTTAGTTAGACAATATTACTAATTTTGTTTATCAGTTAACTGATTGTCGTTTATAGGCCTGTATTCACCATCACAAGCTATATACCAAACACTCCAAACTCCACCCAAACTCCCATTGCGTCTCATCTCCATACAAACCTGTCCATTAATTTTTGCAGCCTCACCAATGACGTTATGCTCCTCCGTCTGCCTTTCCTTTGCCGCATATGTAAAATCGGCCATTCCTTCTTCAATCTTTCCAAGATTAAAATAGCATAGTCCTCGATTAAATAGTATTTCGCAACTGTATAGACGAAATCTAAGACCGAGCTGTTCGTAATCGATCAAACTGTTACCACGTAGATTCTAAAAAAGGAAAAATACTTGGAATCAGTTTTCTTTTGAATTGTCAGTGATAGAATTGGCAAGTTTCCGGTATGATGTTCTCGGCAAAAAAGGGGCTTTTTATGCTTGTACTTTCCCATTCAACCCTCACCAATCTACCAATTTCCACTGATCACCCCATTTAACGGCCAGCGAATCATATATAATTACCAGAAATGCGTCATTGAAGCCTATGAGAGCGGATTCAAACTTGCCCATGAGGAAATACGAAACTCCCATTTGAAATTGTGCTACGGCAAAATATTGATCGAGCTTTACTGCTTCTTTGTACGATTCGCACTTTGAAAAAGAAATTGGAATTAAACGCAAGAGTAGGGATTAGACGAGTGTACGAGAAAGAAAATCATGGAGGAAAGGATGCGGTCAAAGAATTTGGAAATAATGCTTACAGCTGCTTCATGCTCACCCATTGTAGCATAGATTATTCCAATATTAAAGTAAAACCTCGCAGAATCAGCAATATCCTAAGTACGAGAAAAGACGTATATGAATACTGTCTTGTGAAAGCGACAGGTTCCTGTCTCATTCTCGAGTTTTTCGTAACATTTACCTCAAAACATCGTAATGCAGCCTCGTAATCTTTAT